CTGTGGGAGGGATCTCCAGACAAGTGATACAGCCTCTTGGCCTATGCAACATCCCTGGATATCAGAGTATATCAACACCTATCATTTAAAAAACAACTCTTTATTTTTAAACAATAGCAGTGGGAAATTAAAAATTATGCTTTGGGGAATCTCGTGGAGGTGCAACAAGACTGAAGACCAAACACTTGTCATATGCTCCGATTTCATAGATGACAGTCCACAGAGTAAATTTACCTCCCAGTCTCCTACCAGTCTACTTCAGACCAAAAGAGGAGGACAGATTCTTCAAGTGAGTGAGAGAGGTTGGCTACTGGAGTGTTTTCTTGACATGTTGTCTACCAAGGCTGTGAACCAGGGGCTTGACCTGTCCCATGCATAACTCCGCTGGAGTCAGGGGAGTCCTGCCCCAGGAACTTAGCCTGTCTCTTTCCGCTGCGAGCTGCAGTAATAGCTTTCCTCCTGGTGAGCTGTGTTTACAGACTGAACTGGCCTCACACAAGCCATCATTATCGCCTCCTAGTAACCTTGCAAAGCACGGGATGACAAGCTGCTGCTCTGTATTTTCATAGCCCTGCAGTAATTAGTGCCTGGCATCTGTAATGGGAATAAAGTGCATAACATCAGAGTTTCTGAGATGACACTGTTTTCATTATATGTTTAATTTTCCAAAGAACATAAAGGCAAATACATCAAAATGCCAAGGAGCCTTTCTTAATTCAAGCCTCTCATTTTTCCTTTTCTTTTCAAGATATGCAAATGGATCGAGCCATTAAAGAGGAAGATAAAAGGAACCCCAAACACTGTTTATATATACCCTTTATGACTGCAGCGACTTATTTTGTAGGAAACGTTATTTTGACTTGAGCAAGTTACAGTGCAGCTTGACATAACTCGAGGCTGCTTTGCAGTGCTAGAGGTAGACTGGCTGAAAGGATGCCTTACCTAGTTTTTGGAGGTTTCCCCTCACAGCATAGATCCTGCACCCAGATTTTATGCAGTGCTCTGACAGAGGTGGCATTCTTATACCCCTACTGCTATTCAGCTTTTTATGATCATGCTGCTTGGTTGGCCCAGGTTTGGAGGCAAACAAGAGAGTGGTTCCCCTCTTCTGCGATGAAGCTTCTTTGCTCTGCCATGGCGTAATACCCACACTACGTGTGAGGGTGTATCATTGCTATAATGTACCTCCTCTTCAGAACAGCAGCACCATTACCCTTGGAAAATGGGCATAGCTGGCAGGAGGAGAAAAGTTGTCTCAGTCCAAATCCGTGGCATGAATCTCCCAGACCTCTTAGCCCAGAATTTTACCTGAGAAGCTTGGGATCAGGATCCACATTATTTCATTGGCTGGACAGAGTTTAGGTGGTGGGTTTCACTGAGCTCATTTAATAACCCTGGTACTGTACCTTTTTTGATCAGCCTTGAAACAGCAAGGACTTTGAGTTCTGTGCTTCACTGTAGGTGCTGCCCAACAGCTTGTTTCCAGGCCTAACAGCCAAATAAATTCAAATAAACTGATCCAAATGCTGAAGTGCTTATTCAGGCAAATTTCACTGTTTGTTTTCCTCAGATAAAGCTTAAATAAAAACTGAATCAGGACTTCTGGAGCTGGCCCCTTAAAAGCTGAATGACAACACTTCAAAGACAACTAAACAGAAGATCGATGTGTAAGAGTTCAGCACAGAGAGCACTATTTTTTAATTTTTATTTTTATTTTTTCTCATATATTATCTACAAGCACAAGCTTTCTTATTTTTAATGTAAAAATGCATACAGATCATTATATATATAAAAATCAACTAGCCTTGTAGCAAACTGCCAGATGCAACGATCCCCAGGTTTGGGGACAACTTGTCTGGATCCAGGTGCAAACCCAGTGGCTGATCCTCACTTCCACCTGTGGTTGCACCGAATCCCCAGATATGAAGATTCTCAAAGTTCTAGGGAAGTCTTGGTTCCTGATCCAGGTCTTGCAGCATGGGCATGACTAACTCTTCATCAATTGAAGATAAATATTTAAAAACTTCATAAATGACAATCAACTTGTTGTAGGTAACAAGTATCCATTTCATCTTTCCTTCCCCTTTTTGTTTATCGTCCTTCCCATCCTCTCTACACAGAAATGATAACGGGCAGAGGGAAGAAATTTAATGTTACTGTCTTATACGTAGATTTAAGACAGTAACAGTAGAAACAGAATTTAACTGTTGATGTCTGCTGCGGAAAGGCTACCGCATGTGGGCTCATGTTGCATTTGGCCTTTTCAATGCTTGGGCACATTTTTGGCTCCGTTTTCCCATTGTAGAAATATGACACATTTATAGCATAGCCAATAGTATGTTGCAACATTGTGAGCAACAGTAAATCAGACTGCATTTAATAGTATGTAATATGTATCAACAGGTTGTAATATATTATAACTGGCTTGATAAGCAGACCATTATACCGAGAAAAAAAAATTAATGAGCAATTAAGTAAAGAAATCTGTGTTTGTGTGGGAGGAAAGGTCACAAAATAGAAGCCTCCTTTTTGACCAAGTGTTTATCATGTTCGACAGTTTCCAAATTCAGTCTTTGCAAAGGAATGTTTCTATTTTTATTAGAGGTTCTTTATGTAACAAGTCATGTTTGCACAGTGGAACATTTTCTTTCACCAGGATTTTATAACTTCTCCATGCAGAGGCTATAAAAGAAGATAGGATTTGCTGGGATTCTTTTGGAAGGTATTAGAGCCATAACAGCATCTCCTCCCTTTGAACTCTCCTAATATGAATATGATTCATTTATTTTCTCTTGTAATTCATATACTACATGTATGTATTTTAAAGGCAGCTTTACTCTGAAACCCAAGAAAGGTTTGCAGAGAAAAGAACCATTGAAGTTGTCTTAGAGAGGGATAAATCAATTGCCTAAAATACCGACATAATGACTGTCCTCATCAGCTATGTTGCCATGGGATTGCAGGTAAGGATTTTGTTTACTTCAGATTCGTGCAATAGCACTGATTTGGAAGATAACAGAACGACTTAGTGAAATGCCCACTCAGGGTCCTGATGTTGTAACATACACGTTTGCAGGTTCAGATCTCCAGCTAATGACTGCTGGTGCGTGAACAGGCACTACCTCTTTCTTTTACACTCGTATCGATTCTCCATTACTAATAGGCCTAAAAATAGCAAAATTATCTTCTTCTTTTAAAACAAAAGTTAGAGACATGACCAATAGTTTGGGAACAGGTGTGTCATGGAGATAGTGACGTCACCTGTTGCAAGAACCTCCTGCCCATGGTGGGAAACTGCAGTTTCCATTGCAGTGTGTGCAGCTGGTGTATGGCAACGTGCCTGAATATGAGGACCAGAATATAGACACTGATTCCAGAAGAGTGGAATGAATTATCACTATCTAGAATGGGGGAAACAGAGAAAATAAGCAACAGTACAAATAAAATATAGACCTGAATGTGAGGTTCTTTGATTCTGGTTGGGATACTGGTGAGAGATTGTTTAAAAAAAAATGTACTTTGGTAAAGTATCTTTAAGCAAATCCTTTTGGAAAGCCCTGACTTGGACCTTTCTCTGTCCACAGGGATACACAGGCTTGATTCTCCAGCCAGTTACGCCTCTTATATGGCTACCTATAGCGGTATAAAATGCTATCCATCCAGATATCATCACTCTCTTACATCTGTGGCAATTTGCACTTGATAGCCTTTTGGTGTTACTTCCTCACAGAGGCAAATAACCATATGAAGTACAAAGTAGTGGAGAATAAAGTTGTAAGTAGTTGCTAGAAGGGGGCTATTCCTCAAAAGAGAATACTGCTAATATTCCCATTTGTCATCCCAACCTTGGGCTGTGGTTCTACGTGATGCCAGTCTGAGCTGCACACCACGCTGCCTAAAGAGATGCAACACAACTGGTGGGAGACAAGGACAATCTGCATGAAAGTCTTCAAATCTTGGTTCTTGAATGTCTTAGCGTACAGTGAACAAGCCAAGTTACAAGGCAAAACTTGACAGCTGGCTTAAATGAGACGCATGAGGAAGGAGAAGGGAGCAAAAAAAACTGGATAGCTTTTATCCCAGGCATGAAAATCTGATAAAATGCACTTTCAATTGAATGTGCCCGATAGAGTCACAAAAAATTGTGGTGGTTTAAACCACAGTGCTTCAAGCAACATCTGGAAGTTTAAACAGCTGGAAATTATGGCATTTTGATATCGTAGAGGACATTCACATCTGATTTACATTTGCGCTTAGACTTTAAATACTTGCCTTCTCATGGATGCAGTTCTTCTTCAGTGTAAAACAGAATCAGAGGAACTACTTGAATTGAAATAAGACCAAAATAAAAATGTAAACACAAGCTAAAAACTACTCATAACTAAATCAATAGTAACATGGTTATTTTTTTAGCTCGATTTCCCAACACATACACTCCCATTTCCCCAAGCACAGTACTGTGCTTCAAGGGGGAAATGCTGGAATGCCACTGGACTAGCTTGATTATTTCTTAATGAATTCTGCAGTTTCAGAGGATCTGGAAAAGCAGCTGAACTTCAGGTCTGTTGAAACATGTGTCTTGCTGTCTAAACACTCCATGAAAAAAGACCTTTCCTGTATTTTTTTGCACAGCTTGCTAAGAACATCAGCACTCAGATTTGACAAAAATAACAAGGAGGAAGGACAGTTTGGAGGAAAAGCACACAATGCGCCAATTCAGAGCTGGTGAAAGGTGTCAGATGAACTTTCTGGTGAAACACAGCAGCCTCTATACGTATTCAGTCCTGGAGAACACCAGTTTTGACGGCTCTTGACGGACTGAGGACTGAACCTTACTCTCCAATGGCTACTGAGCAGCTGGCTGGCTGGAAATGATGTTTAGGCACTACGGACTTGCAGAGGATTGGAGCCAGCTTTGTAGAAGCAGAAGATGCTCTGTCTGTGCCAATCTCCACAATCATCTAGTCCTTTGGAGTTTTTTCTCCTTTTTTTTTTTTTTTCCACGTTAGCCAGAAGCAGTGTGGCTAAATACATCTCAAAACAGGAAGAAAGTCTGACCCTGTGTTACTCAAAAAATTGGTGTGGTTTGTCTTTTCTATTTTTTTAATTGCAAAGCTTTGACCATTTTTAATTAAATGTGTTCTGCCTGCCTCGTCCCTACTCCAAGCTAATATGCTCTAAAATGCTTCTCTGGCTTGATACAGCTCTTTCTAGCTGCTGATTTTGGTAAGCATCTTATTAATTGCCTGCTTGACGTGGGTGGTGGAGCTTCGTCTCCGAGTCTTGCCCTGGACCATCTTTCGACGCCGCACCTCACGACAGAGCTCATAGAAGGCCTCCATAATGTTGCCCTCTCCCGTGCAAGCAGAGCACTCATAAAAAGCACATGCTAGTTCTGTGGCCAGCTTTTCACCTTCCTCTGTGCTGACCTGCCTGGAGTGATCCAAGTCTGCTTTGTTCCCCACCAGGATCAGGGTGACATTTTTGGGTTTTTTAACTTCATCCAACAAGTTCTTAAGTGGCAGCACTTCCTCAAAGCTGCCTCTGTCTGTGATGTCGTAAACCAGCACAAAGCCTTCACCCCATCGCACGTGTCCTTCTTTCTGAATAGCATCCTCCTGTTTTGAAAAGACAGACACCAGCCTTAGTAATTTATGAAGAAGACACCAGGCTTTCAGATAGATGTTGGCCCCCCAAAGCCTGCAAAGCCATGTACATCTGCTTTACCTGATGCACGTCACCGTTTTTATGATGTAGCGTCAGAGATCTAATCTACTAGGGAGTCATGGGCTACCTGCGGGTCTCTGTTGAATGATACCCAGCACACAAACTGCATAGGACTCTGCAGAATGAGCATCTGCCATGTTTTGAAAGGAAGGGGGACCTGGCCATGGCAAAACTGCTTTTCACTTTGGTGGGAATTATTGCCTGAGGCTGTCAAGCCTCATCACTTGACTGTAGAAATAGACTGTGACTTCGTGCGCAGTAATAACATGTTGGGTTGGCCCTGAATCAAGGAATGAGAACAAAATCATTTTAATACCAGAGTAAACCCTGAATTTATTTGTTCTTCCAGTGTTCAAAAACCCTAAGGGTCCCTTGCAGGAGGGTCTGGGTCCAGCAACGAGCTGATTGTGGCGGTGGGGGAGCTCTGCTCGGAAGTGGAGGCGCCCTGTCCCCAGAAGCGGAGCACACCTGCCACCCACCACACCGCTGCCGCCACCGCACTCCCCTTCCCTGATGTCTGTCTGATCCAAGGTATTGGATAATAGTACGTATACCCACGCACCTGACCAGCTGTATCTAGTATCTCCATGGAAACCACTTCATCATCAATGGTAGCTTGGTGACGATATGTAGACTCTAAAATAAGAACACATTTTGTGAAACGTATTAAATGAAGTTCTGTGGGTTTTTTTAATCTTCCTTACAGCTACCCCAACACAAGACCTGAGATGTGACACACAGCTTCACTAGATTTTATTTGTTGGAGCTCTTCCAGCTATTCTGGAGCACACTTAAAGTCTTCCTTTCTATAATTGCAACTATTTTACCACTCCCCATAAGGCACATATCTTTCCCATATCTTATACCTACAGGGGGTTGTGCCTGTGGATGCTGCACTCTGCACCCATCAGAAGGACAGAGTTTCCTGCAGCAAAGTAGTTCTGCAAGGCTGAAGCCCAATTTTCATGTTTGCTCATAGGGAAGGCTGCCACCTGTGAAACATACCACTACACTCCAAGTATCCAGCTCAAAAGCCTGTCACTGCTTAGACTGAAGTCTGATGAGATCAAAACCGGTATGGTTGCAGATCAGGGAAACCTAACCACTAAGCTCAGGCCTTACACTGTGATAAAATTACAGAGCAGTTAGCTATTTTAGGAATGTCTCTTTGAAACATGCTGAAATCATCACATTCCCCTCTTCTAGCAAGGGCTCAAGCAGTAATTTCCCTGTGTATGATTTATAAGGATCACCAGTGGGCATTAAGCATTCACACTATGCAGCAGGAAAAAGGAACCTATTTACTGTCTCCCAGGTTCTGGAACCAGGCAACTAATCAGAAAGCTAATAACAAAAGGGCTTGTTTTATCTTAATGAGCTCACAAGTTAAATTTGATAGCATTTGACCTAAAACTTGGAAAATTATGTTTGCTAACATTCAGATTTATTACTTTTACTAGCTCACAGATGTCCTATATCAAAAGGCAAATGCGTATGCTGTAAAACTGTGGCCAGTGACTGAAAGCTTTGAGTTGTCAGAGACACAATTCTTTTATTTGGTGCAAATCTCCCCAGTAGGAATGAAGGGTATCTTTAAGGAAACACGTTTCTTGAATCAGAACTTCTCAAAGGGCTCATGTTTGGTGAATGCCTTTTTTTGTTAACATACTTAAGTCACCTCTTCATAGTCATGAACGTTTCAATGATGTCAGTGCTGCAAACACTCTCCTCCCAAACCAAAAATGTCACTTCCCTCCTGTGCCACCTTAATTGCTTTAAGTAGAACAGCTGCCTCTAATAGGGACAAATGGTCAGTTTAATTAGGCAGATGGCAAGCAATCTTGAGGTAGGGTTTCAGGCAGCGCAGACTAGTTTATCTAAAGGCTGTAAATACCCCTTCTGTTTAGTGTTGTAAGGCTGTTGGGGGAGTTGGAGTTCTACCTTTGTGATCCTGCGGTTAAACCTATGCAGTAGGGTAAGATACAGCTAAGTCTTTCAGCAGTATGTGTACCTGTCCCTTCTGTACCATCTCCTAGCTGGAGCAGTTCCCCAAAGGAATGCAGAAAAGGCAGGAGCTCTCGTTCCACATAGGAGCTGCATTGATGCACCTTCGGCAAGTGGTTTCAGCAGCTGAAACGTTTAGTGCTAGTTTGGGGTTCTCTCTGCAGCACTCCATGTCCAAGGTTGCATAGGAACTTTTGTTTCTTTTCTTTGGGGGAGATTACGGAGAAGAAGCGATGGCGCTCTGAGTGAGCAATGTGGTATTAGCTCCTTACGTTTTAGGCCTTGTAATGCCTAAATGCCTTCAGCCATCTGACCCTGATTGACAAGCAGCTGTTGAGAACTGGTCCACAGAAGTTGAGAAAGTGCTTAGCCGACCACGTTTGCAGCGTTTCTGAGACACGTCCTTCTTGGGAGGCAGAGTATGGTAGTCCGGGCAGCTCTTCCCTGTGAAATGGGAGGTTAAATCTCAAGGAGTAGACATCTGCTCGCTGTGGAAAAACAGCAGGGTTCTTCTATGATACTTGAGTTCTCAAAACAGGACTCCGGTGGCACTTTATGTTGCAAGTTTAACTCCCTTTGGCTGCTCGTGTTGGGATGGAATTTCATCCTGGATGAGTAGCAGTGATTTGGGTCAGATTAATGTAAATATATCTTAGTTAATGAGTCTCTGTTCCTGTGCTTTGGAATGTGCGGTAGCTGGGTGAATGAGGAGTGTAAAACAGCTGGAATCTAAAAGCAATTTTTGGTGTAATCACAGACATGTCTTTTCCTTCAAGGGAGCAGAAACATCTGAAGAATGTGGCTGTCTTGTAAGCTGTGAGCCCTGAAGTTGTGATTTCCAGTCTGTTCACGTCGATCCCATGGTGCTTGACAAATGCACTGCCTGGCTTTGCGATTTATTAATAACATTCTCTAACATGTGCAGCTAGAGAGAAAGTAGATGACTTGAGATAGCTGCTGGATCCCTAACTGAAACCATCAACAGTGCAGGTGTCTGTGTCTCAGCTAAGCACCCTTGACTCCTATCAAGTTCGATGAAGTAAAATAGGTGCTGGATATAGCTTCTCTGATATCTCTCCTGGGATGAATCACACCTCAAAAGCCCTTAGGAGTCTAAAATTAGTCAAATGAGTCCAGGTTCTAAATGTCTTATCCTTGCATTGTCATGGTCAAGTAGAAAAAGGAAAGCATAACACTGTGCCAGCAGCCTGCCTGATGCCTCCCAAGATGCCTTATAGGCACTTTTTGGAGCTTTGGGGTATCATTTGTACCAGCTGAAGCCTATATTGTATCTATACGGCTAAAACATCATAGATAGAAAAGAAACCTCAGAGCTGTGATTGACTCTTTGTAGACTCCACGTCACAACTGCTGGCCTCAAAGCAGGGCAGGGAGCTGCTGCCGCTGCCGAGCCGTGGTGTGTCTGAGCTGCTAGCACTGTGGAAACAGGGGACTCCCATTTGGTGGCTTGTTCTGTTTCAATGTAAGTAAATCTGATCTGTTCTTGTTGTTCTGGGGGTGTGCTATGCTTCTCTTCATATGCCCAATAACAAGGTCAAGGGTGCTGATGACTGTGGCTTTGGAGGCTGATGTTGGATTTCAGGGTCCCCCTTGGTTGTAAAGCTGCAATCCCCCCGCACACTTGATGTGCAAAGCACTCCTATTTCTCACAGTGCTGTTGTTTGAAATAATTCAAGCTTATTTCAGAAACATTCAGAGATGTCAAAAGGCCTGAGAAACATGTTGTAAAGTTGTAGTAGTTGGTTTATTTTGAAGTCTATAATATACTGCCGCAATAATTCATTAATAGGAATTGGACAAAACTTTCAAATTACCACAGCTGCTGAATAATTATGGAAATAATGGTTTGGGGACAAAAAAAAAAAAAAACCCAAAAAAACAAACAAACAAAAAAAAACCCAACACCAAAAAACCTCTCCTGGGGCTCTGTGTGTTGGTCAATAAGCATGTACCACCTTCCAGTGGGAGGTGTCCCTGCCCATGGCAGGGGGGTTGGAACTAGATGATCTCTAAGGTCCCTTCCAACCCAAACTTTTCTATGATTCAAATCTCCCTACTCTTCTGAACAATGTGATTTTTAAAAAATGCAGAAAAAAACCCCCTCTGAACTTACATAGAAAACACTTTGAAGCCCACGATCCACAGACTAGTCCATGGATATGATCAGTCACAGCCTGACCACATCCCATTCTTGTGCTATGCTTATTGTGACATACTTAATGGAGCTTTGGCCTGTAAGATTTAGCTGGTCACTTATCAAACCTGGATGGCCAGGACCATTCTGATCTATTGAATATATCTGTTCTAGAAAATTACATTTTCTAGAAAAAAACTATTATGTGAGAAGTAATTACTAGATCTTGTTCTATTTGCAGTGATGTAAAGATCTGTTTTCAGTACTTGTTTATTTTGAACAGGCCATATATATCAGCGGTATGTCGCAGCTCTGAAAGGAATTATTTGCATCTGAAAGGTTTATTGCTTGTAGGAAAACACTTGTAGTAGGAGTTGGTAAATCAGCTGAGATGGAAAAACGACATAAACCATTTTACATGTAAATTTAAGGAAAAGCCTGGTCTCTTTTGTTTGCTTTTAAGTACAGAGGGAGACAAACTTTGTTTCCATTCAGAATTTTAGTTGATTTTTGTCAAGAGAGGTTAAGAAAACAAGGACTTATAAAAATGTGCTAAGAAACTTTGGTCTCATGGTGGCTTTCAGCCAGTTGGATCTGAGAACTGCAAGAGACCTGGAGAAAGAGCTTTTGTGTAATAATTATAGTTCAGTTCCCAGACCAAGAAGCTACAGTTAATAGTCATGAACTAAGTTACGGTTAAAGTCTTGTTTAATGGCCATGCAGCAGTATGTTTAAAAGACTAAAATTTCCCATAATTATTTCTGATTGCATAATAAAGGTTCCTGGGTGTGTTTTTTCTTCCTTTTTTTATTCTCTTTTTTTTTTTTTTTAAACAAACTCCCTGCTCATTTAGACTCCTGCAGTCTTTGAAATCCGTCAGGATGGCACCTGTCTCTATCACACTTGAGAACAGTGACTCTGACAGCCCATTGGGAAAACAATTTACCTGCATTATTAACCCTGGTGTTGCTCGATATGTTCTCCAGAGCCTTCCCTCAACCTGCTTCTGAAATCAGTCCCACTCTGTATTCCCTTTCTGCTGAGGAACTTTTAATCTTTGAAAGCCCCTGTAAGTTGAATCTACCTTCCTAATGGAGAAAGTCTCTCCTGCCTTCTTCCTTCCTCCACCCCAGCTCTTCTCAAAACTCATCTGAAAGTACATTTTCTTGCTTGTATCTGTCTGTTACTTATTCCATCTATTATTTACCTCACAGGAGGGTTTTTATTCTGCAACCATCAGTGGTTGTACAGTAACCACCATACTGTCCTTTGGTATTTACAATGTATTTCTAATGCTAATGCAGTATACATCTCTTTAGTAACTGATATTACAGACCCAAAAATAAGCATAGCTGGGTTATTTATCAATAATACCATGAAATGATATGCCATGCATTGTTATTGCAATCGTTATTATCACATGTAAAAGAAGAAAGTAGTTAAGTGACTGAAAGGAAACTCTGACAGCTCTGTTGAT